CCCTATCAATTTCAACCAAATTGCTTTTGTCAAGGTCAGCAGTGACCTCCACATTATTAAACCCCGTAGTCAATTCTAACTCAGTCCATGTCCTACTCAACTTATCAGCTACATCTGACAGAGCTGATCACTCTGTCCTTCTTAATAACCTTCTTCATTTGAATTCAGGACACAACATTCCCCGGATTTCCTCCTGCCGCTCGGGCTGTTTCTTCTCCGTCTCTTTGGCTGGTAATGCCTTTTACTCCCTCTTTCATCAAGCTCAGGCTTGGGCTCTCTCTCCACACCCGCTCCACATCATCTGCACAGTGACCATGTTCACATTTGTATCTTCAGGCTGCACCTTCAGTCACCTGCTTGACACATCTATTCAGATAACTAATAGGCATCTCAAACAAAACGAACGCCTGATATTCCTCCCTGTTCTCCAAATGTGCTCCTCTGACGACCTCTCCCCGTGTCTGGTGACAGTAAGTCCATTCTCATAGATGTTCGTTTAGGACAAAAATCTGGTAGTTTTCTTTAATTTTTTTTCTCATACACTATCCACTCCACCATTAAATCCTACTGGATCTACCTTCAAAATACGTCTACGATCCATCGATTTCTCTATACCTCCACTGTCTCACCTCTGATCTTAGCTTCCTCCATCGCCTTACTGCAATGCTACGATGGCCTCCTAAGGGGCCTTCCTGCTGCCACTCTCGTTCCCCTTTTAAAGTCCATTCTCAACACAGAACAGTAATCCTCATAAAACAGAAGTTGTATCGTGTCACTTTTCTGAAAAACCATTATAATTAGCTCTTTATTTCACTGGAGTAAAAGCCAAAGCCCTTTAATGGTCTATTAGGTCCTACATGACCTAGCTGCCTCCTTCTTACTTACAAATATTCCATACCTCAGGGAATGGCAGTCCAGTTTGACTCATCGAGTTGAACCAGAACCTTTATATCCTTCCTTAAACTTTTCACCACCACCATCTCACATCCAATCAGTTGCTATAACCTACCGATTACTTCCTTATATCTCTTATTTTCCTTGTATCTCTCAAATCCATTTACATGTTTCCCTTGCTGATGACACTGTTTCTCCCCACCTCCCATCTGACCTCATCTCGAATCTATCTACTACATATTAATAGTAGAGTGATCTTTCTAGTTAAATGCAAACCCATTCATATCACTCCCAAGTATGTCCAACCCCAAAGGTCTCCCCTTTTAACCACCTTTTTTGATGATTCACAAGTTGATCCTTGGATCACACAATACAGTGCCTTACAAGTGCGGAGCTTTAACTGCAATTCAAACTACTTTTGAAATTGCCCCGTTACATAAATTCATTGGGTCATTTGTTTCAAGTGTTTTGTAGCATACAATTCACTTTTGAGGGCACATCAGCCTTTGTTCTATTGAGCAACATTTTGTCAGGATTAAATTTTTTGTGTATACAATCATTTATAAAATGAAATTTGGATTTACCTGTTAATTTAGACTATACTTTTAACTGAAGAAAAGGTCAGCTACCTTGGCATAAGTACAGAGCTAGAGTAGGTTCTTTCTATCTTAAAACTATAAGTTTCAAATAATAATATTAAATGCTAATGATAATAATATTGAAAAATATTAGTTTTCATAGTTTACAAAATCCATCCATATAAATAAGGTCACTTTTTATGACAGCTACCCAAAGCACAGATATTATTTTACTTTTTCAGAGGAGTACATTGGAGATTAAAGAATTAAGTGATTTCATGGAAAATACCTAGGAAATTCAGTGACAGAACTGACTCTGGAACTCATGCTCCTTCAATATATACCATGTGGTAGCACCTGTGTGTGCAGGTTCCTAAATGCAAAGTATAACAAAGCATCGATGTGTAAGATAATGAAATGCTACTTTTTCAAGTAGATAAATACCGACCTTAAAAGTTTTACTTTTTTGCTTTAAAACAAATCATAATTGTCCTTCTACATTATTACTAAATATCAGTCCACTCTAAAATTTTTGATGTAACATAGAGGTGACGTATTACATTTGGAAACCCTAGTAACATGCATGCTATTTGAAACTATTTCAACTTTTAAAGGTTAGGTTTTGGTTCTGTTCAAAGGTCAGGCCTGAAAATATCAATTTGGAAATGTGTGGAAAATGACAATTTCTCCACACATTCTGGACAGTGCCGCTGCAGTCCCAACAGAGGTAAAACGCGTTCTTACCCTCGCCCTCCGGTGGTCAGAGTGGAGAGAGCGCACTGGACCCACAACTTCTCTAAATTTAATTCTAAAATAAATAAATAAATAATAGTATCGACCTCAAACCATTGTTGAAATTTTTCCAAATTAATCATAAAAAGCACACTAATTACTGCACTAACTAAAATAAAGCTGAGAGAGATTTTCCTAGAAGCAAGTATCAGAGTCCTTTCTTCCATTTTAAGATTTTAAATCTGGAATGAGTCATTTAAATAAGTATTAATGAAGTAAGAATTATATGCCTACAACCCTTCCTGGGGTTCACATACCACTTTTATTTACAATTCATATCCCATCTCTCCTCTCCTGTGAAACTGTATCTGGTGCATGGCAGATATATATACTAAATGTCCATGCTCACTGAATAATGCTAGGTTTCCTTAATATCATGATGAGGGCTACTAATAGTTACTCACCTTTTTTTTCTGTTTTTGTTTTTTGTTTATTTAAGAGAGAGGAAGGGAGAGAGAGAGGGAGAGAGAGAGAAACACCAATGATGAGAGAGTCATTGCCTGGCCGCCTCCTGCACGCCCCCCTCTGGGCTTTGAGCTGACAACCTGGGCATGTGCCCTGAACCGGAATAGAACAGCTGCCTCCTGCTCATAGGTAGATGCTCAACCACTGAGCCACACCAGTTGGGCCAGTTACTCACATTTATTTAACACTATGTACCAGACACGGCACTAATCACTTTACTTGCATTACTGAACTATGGGGTAAGCTAACCTAATTAATTAATTGTCCACTTAATTCTATAGATAAAATCTACAGCATAAAGAGGTTAAGTTTCAAAGGTAGGTAAGAAGTTCAGTCTCATAGTTAGTAAACAAGCTTAGGCAGCCTACAATGTGGTGGGACCCGTCCACTCTAGCTCACAATTCTAGAAAGAGGAGAGAAGGCAATAAATACGTAAACAAGTGAACAATATAATTTTACATAGTCAATAGCCTCTGGAAAACAAAAACAAAAACCCCAAAACAGATGATTTGACCAAAGTAACTAGAGCAATGTTGAAAAATGGTTAAGAAAGAACATGGACTCTACCACCAAGTTTGAATCCCAGCTCTGTTATTATGGGCTGTTATTTAGTTATTTAGCCTCCTTCTGTGTTTCCTTGTCTACAAATAATAATACCTAATTCATATAACAGTTATGAGGTTTACATGAATTAATATACTCCAAATGCCTAAAACAGTATATGAGGCATAGTATTAAGTATTTACTTAAATACTTATTGCTTATTAATATTAAAGATATTAAATTCAATATATTAAGTATTTATAATTTTATAAATTAAATTTAATATTAAAAACATTATGAAAAATATGTAAGCATTTGCTTAAATACTTATTATTTATTACTATTATTACTATTTTTCTTTTTGAATCTTTGTTACTATAATTATCATCATATTGAAGGCTCTCCTTAAGGTAGGGTGACCTGGGAACGCGTCTATGAAGAAATAAATGCATTTGAGCCAAAACCTGAATGACACTCAGTCACATGAAAATCTGAAGACAGAGATTCCAGGCAGCAGGAACCAAAGTACAAAAAAGCTCCAGGGCCAGGGCCAGGCCACCTAGCAAAGCAGGCAGTGTGGGCCAGGATGAGTCTGCTAAGGGTCAGGTTAAAGAGCTAGTCCGGAGCGAGGTTATACTGCGCTTCATTGGCCATAGTCAGGAGTTAGATTTTATTCTAAGTTCAGTGAGAAGCCATCTAGCATTTTTAGCATGATGATGACATACTCTGATTTACATTTTATAAACATCATTCTAGTTGCCATGGAAAGATTGGATTATAGCTTCCGCAGAATATCAATCTCACCATTTCCATTCATCATTATTTTTTTAAAATCTTAGGTTTTTTTCCTAGGGGAAAATAATTCTCTGGCTATATTTTTGAAATGCTTTTATCAGTGTTCTCAAAAGTAGAACCAAAAGTAAAGGATTTAAATAAGCACATGTATATACTTTCATATAGTTATACACACACGCGTTCTGAACAATAACTACATGGAATACACACACGGACGATAACCTATGATTCTAAAAGTCATATTAATCATATTTCCAGGATTTTAAAATCATACCTCTTTGAAGAAAAGTAGTTGAATAGTCCATTTACTTTAAATTAGATATAAAAAGAAGGTATTCTTTAGGCCCTGCTTCTCATATTTCTGTCCACCAGTTATTAGCTCCTAGCCCCCAAAGAAGGGAAGCGTTGCACATCCGATTGGATGGAACAGGGATGTTTCACTAGTGGGTGTGGTTCCTGCCCTAATCTCCCCCGTACCCCAGCCTTATTTCTTCCCGCCCTCTTCTCTAAGTTCACTTTGGTTTGAGTAGACTGACAGCCCACTTAGGCCACACTGTCCAGCTCGATCTTACCAGATAACCTGAACCAAGGTCTCTAGCCTCAGGGCTGCATGTCCTACTGATGAGTTGCTACCACTATGTGGAGAGGGGTAAGTAGCAGTGGAAGAAGAACAATTCTAGGTCTCTGACTTTTTACCACCATAATAGCATTATAGCATCAACTTTAATATCTAACGCCTAAAAGGCCACTAATAGATTCACAAAGAATATTATGCCCACACACCGAAAAAAATCATAAAGCCCTACCCTGCCTCACATGTAGGTGAACAAAGAACACAGTGCCATTTGTACGAAGGATTCCCCTTAATCTAATTCATAAAGACTTTAGTTTTAAAAGTGCAAAATCACAGCTGCATGAAGTGAATGGCTTTACCTGCATGGCCTGTTCCCTCGCTCTTGACCTCTGTGGTCCCCACAGCAGAGGTGGGTGGGCTAACAGGAGGGCTGGCAGGGAAGCTTGAACACCCTGTAGACGTGTTGATTTCAAAATATTCTTGGTTGTGATTGTTCCGATGAAAATCCACAGAAGACACAATAGAGGTCCGTTGTTTGGGCTAAAAGAAATGAGGGTGACAACCGCATTAATACGAGCATGTTCATTTTCAGCCCAATCTCCCCCTATGTTTAATCTAAGTCGTCATTTTTTTCAGTTACACTGTCTGGTTTTTATACTTAAAATAGAACTGTGCTTTACAGAGAGATGCTAAATAATCCCTCGAGAAATTAAATAAAAAATTATTTAATGAAAAAATTGTATGGTAAGGTTGATAAAATAATGTAGACTTTTTGTTAGATTTCCCCAGAAGAAGGTAAATATGTGGTGCCTCTTAATTGAATACCTCTTAATGATCAATTAAGAACGTTGCAATTAGTAGTCACCTTTCTGTCAACTAACATTTATGAAACATCTGGCACTTGCCAGACCCCGAGGATATAGAATCTGACAACGAAAGGGCCCTCACAACACTGAAGCATTATTAGGGCAGATCCTTTTTTTAAATTCTTTATATAGCCCAAGGAACATGGCATTAGACACTGTCCCCGAGTACCCTATGCTGAGATTCTATCATCAGAATTAAGTCAAGTTACACAGGATATTTTCCAGGATGTAAGAGTCTGCTTGGTATTTGTGGTGAACTTTGATTTTCTTTTTTAAGGATTTTTAATTAATCCCCAAACAGCAAGAAAAGTCCATTTTAACATAAAAGTTAAAATCATGGAGTAATGACACCTATAATCTACACCCATTGTCAGGAATGGGTTGCTCCCTACAGCAGTTTTCTGTTTTCCCCCCCAGTTTTAATTATGTTCACTCATTTTCCTGCCTAGCAGAGCCTGTAGCATAGTCTTTCAAAAAACATGCAGCCTTTCTGGCTCTCAGAACTGTGTACATTTCCCAAGAATCCGTTCAAGTGTTTTACTCTTTACCTCCCTCATTTGTATTACTGAAACAGGAACAAGCTCACAATCATCAGCTCGGCCTTAGCTGCAATCTCTTTACAGTAAGTTCATTTCCCCAAATCACGGTTACTTTTGGTCTACTAATGTTTCCATTGCCCTCAAATACTTTCTTAATTTAAGCGCTGTACTTTGCAGACGATTTTCCTGCATAATATTCCAGTTACCCTGTCTCTTCCAATTCAAGTTTTTTTAAGCGGATATTTTGTCTATAACCTAAAATAGATGATGATATTGAAAATATCTGTATTTTACAGGTTTTTTTTTTTACATAAAAGGTACAAATGATCACACTATGCTTTCTTCTTTCACCATTGCAATATTTTAATAAAAGAGGCTGAGAGGCATAAAATATTGTTATACAAGAAGCTGCAAGTCATTTATTACTGTGACACATCAGCTCAGTAATAGAATTCAAATGAGTACCCACAGGACCCAGACGCTTTTGAAGTATGAAGAACCAGGGTTCAACGTCAGCCTTGATTTCCCCTGAAATGTCTGTCCTTGAGGCCACTGAATCCCGATTTCACATTCAGCGTTCTTTCCTCTAGACTGTATAACAGCAATTAAGTCACGAACTATGGGCGGCTCTCTCAATGGAGCGCGCCCACACCTGTGCCCGCAGGCATTTTCCTTGCCTCTCTCTCTCTCTCTCTCTCTCTCTCTCTCCTAAGCTCCAAGGGCCCTTCTTTTGCCTCTGTAACTTGTTTCCTGAGCCCATTTCTTCTACAGCTCACTTCTTCTACCTCTGTGACTTTCTAAATAAACTTTCTCCTACCAAAAAAAAAAAAAAAAAAAAAGTCATGGACTATGACCCTGGCTGCAATGAAAACACAGGTGTGTCCATCATCTTGGTTTTGTTTTATTGTGTTGTGTTTTTGTTTCATTTTGCATATAGGCAATAAACCAAATGCTTCTAATTTTCCTTCTCATAAACTTTATAAAGGTCAAGCTAACTGATGTATATGACTTCTTTTAAATGTTTCTTAAATACATGTTTCTGAACGTGGACCACCCAAAGTTCTATTTACATTAAAAACATAATTTGTTGCCCTGGCCAGTGTTGTTCAGTGGTTAGAGCATCAACCTGCACACTGAAGGGCTGCGGGTTCGATTCCCGGTTGAAGGCTCATAACTGGGTTGCAGGTTCGATCCCCAGCCCTGGTCTGGGCAAGTGTGGGAGGCAACCAATCTATGTGTCTCTCTCACATCAATGTTTCTCTCTCTCTCTCTCCCCCTTCCCCTTTCTACTATCTCTAAAAATCAATGGAGAAAATACCCTCGGGTGATGATTAACAACAACAAAAACATAATTTGTTATGCAATTATGAAAGCAAACAGGCTATTTTTTTTTTTTTTCTGCATTAATTCATTCTACAAATATCTGCTGAGTGACTAAATTGCAGATGCCATGGTAAGCACTGTGATAGGAGCAGATAAGTGAGACACTGCCTCTGCTGTCCAGGTGATAACAGACTTTTATTGGAGGAGGAATGGTGCATGAGGGAAGAGACAAGCCATCCAAAGACTATGCTTCAGTACAGTATAGTACAGTGAAAAGGGCTATGATAAGTCGGGGCACAGAATATAAAGGGAGCCCAAGGTAGGTCTCTACTTTAGGGAGGGAATCAAGAAAGGCCTCCATGAGCAGGTGATTGATGGCTGAGTTGAATCCTGATGAGGCAAAGGTGGGAGGCACGTGGTAGGAACTTTGCAGGATGGGGGAAGGAAAGTACACACTGTAAGCAGTGCAGGATGGCAACGGCGCAGATTATGTGAAGGTAGTGGTGGGTTCAAGATGTGAGATATTGTAAGTTGCAGGGGCCAAATCATAAAGGGCTCTAAAAGCTATGTTAACGAGTTTGGTCTTTAACTTCAACATTTTACAAAATCCTGGAGTCATTTCCAAGCAAGGGTTTCATAGTTGAGTTTGCATTTTTTACAAACTCATTTTAGCAATTTAGAGAACAACTTGGTCAGTGCCCAACTTGAGGAAGGAAAAGTAATTAGGAGGATGTTACAGAATTCCAGCCATGACATAATGAGGCCCTGAAGTCAAGCAGTAGCAACAGGGTTGGAGACAGCAGATGTTTTTAGGAGATGCTAATGAAGTCAGCTCTTTAGGCCCTGGCATCTGATTGGATGGGAAGGTTGATTTTTAAGGGAGGTTAGGGTGACTCACAGATTTCTTGCTTGGTTAAATACCAGAAGATCTATTTTTTTCTGTATACACTCCTATACAGAAGCATGAAAGATGTATGCTTGTATGCTCTCGGGACTCAGTACAGGCTGCCTAATGCGTGGTTAAGCACAGGGACACGCACAGGCACCCAGACCCCCACCCTCCCCATGCTCAGGGTCTCACTGCTGGGCTCTCAGCAGTTGCTGGGCTGGTTGGGAGCACAAGAGTTGGGGGACCAGGTGGCTAAGAACCCCACCCAGCAAGGTGGGGAGATGGTGGGAGGTGAACCATACATGCGCCAAGGCTCCAAGCCCCAGCACATGCTCCATTTCCCCACAGACTTCACTTAGAAAACAAATTCAGAGATAAAAATCATTAAAAATTTAGACAGCTGGCCCGGCCAGGCGTGGCTCAGCAGTTGAGCATCGACCTAGGATCCAGGCAATCAGGGTTCGATTCCCGGTCAGAGCACATGCCTGGGTTTCGGGCTGCAGCTGATCAATGACTCTCTCGTCATTGATGTTTCTATCTCTCTCTCTCCCTCTCCTTTCCTCTCTCTGAAATCAATAAAGATATATTTAATAATAAAAAAAAAAATTTAGACAGCTGACCAGGAGCATTAAACCCCAGCATGAAGCCCTTCTGAGGGTGGTGCCCATTGAGACTGCACTGGTCCCACATCCATGAAACCAGTGGCATCTCAGGTTATTACCTTAAAGGGGGTATTACGCGTATTTACTGGTGTCACATGCAGGATGGCCTACACTTCCTACCATTACTTTGATTCTCTTCATCAGAACCTATGATCATAAGAATCTCTTTATGTTCTGTAAAGATGTAAATCAGCTAATATATTCCAATACATTACGAATTCCATGGCATTTCTTCAGCCCAGACAGATATGATTCATTTTTGAGTAAAATGAGAACAAGTGACTCCTGACTAGGATGAGACCGAGGTCATGTGTACAATGACTTCCAAGTGTTTTCTGGATTAGAATGTAAGTGTCAAATACCTTCTTTTATGTTTCCTCCTCTGTTATTTTCAACTTATTTAAACTAATGGACATTTTTCAAATCCACTTACTTGGATTTAAAATCATTCAAATTCACTTAATTTCATTATAAAGGGACCTCATCAACCTCCTAATAAAATGTCAAGTAGGACTACAGGGACATTCTGGTGTCAGTATAAAGACACAGTGGTGCCAGTGAAAGTCAATGGTGGTGTTACATTATTCAAGCAAAACCAAGGTTCAGAATGCTCTCTAGGAGAGGATGGCTGAATGTCAGAAAATTAGTAAGTAACGTCAATAGAAACATGTGGAAATGATAGACTTTCCATCCAGACACTGGCCCGTTGATAAATTATGTCAGGTCAATGGTAATAAATTAGATGCTTTCTTAAATACTTTCAAAAACTGGGATGGAGGTGGTGTGGTAAAAATGTAAAGATAGATCGGTAGTATTTCCTTTTAGAATTTTAATCAACCTAGAATATCTTGTGTATCTGATATATGGTGAAAATTTTTAATTCTAAATATTTTCCCCCGAAATGTTTGCCTACTGTCCCAATACCATCATTTCTTCACTGATTTGAAATGCCACCTTTATTATACTAAATTTCCAAATACAGACCGGCTTTACATTTTTGTACTCTGCTACATTCCCACTGATCTACTTGTCTATTCCTGTGCTAATACCACACTCTCCCAATTACTATTGTGGCTTTTCTTACCTCTAGAGCTTCTAGTAAATGGCTATTGGATCCTTTGACCCTTCCTCTTTTATATTTTGGGAGTATCCTACAATTTGGTGCTCTAAAGCACTGTCATTAACTTGTTCAAAAAACTACTATTGACCATCAGCCATGTTTCAGACACTATTCTAGGCTCTGGGATACTTCAGTAAACAA